CATAATTAATTAGTGCGCAAAACAAGCTTTATGTATATATAGTAAATCAATAAATACCAATATACTCAGGAAGTCATAAACTCTTCTAATAAAACATTGATTTAACTGAAACAATGAATTAAATTTTGAATAATCAACCATAAGGTAAATTTAAGTACTTTAATATATTAATTAGGTGGGTAGGACAAAAAAAACTTTTAAAAAAAGGGTTACAGCATGACGCTTTCTCACTATGAAAGTCTTGTGGTTTCACTTGCGGTTATGGGTTATTTTCTTGCTAACTTGTTAATGCCATACCATTTGATAATGTATACAATATTATAACACGATAATCGTGCATTTTATTGTTGCAGCGAATGAACAGATGAGCTTGACTGAAAACTATGATGATAATGATTATATCGATATTTCAACTACATATAGATCAAGTGTTCGATTTTTTCCAACATCCAGGTAATAACAAATATACTGCTCATATAATTGTTAATACTTTCAAGTTAAACGGGCTATGTTCCACGACTATTTAATTACATGATACGTTTTGCTCGATTGGTTGACGGGGTATTACTTTTTCAATTGATTGAATACTTTTTTGGCCGAAAGAAAATGATCAATCTTTTTAAAGATCAAAATATATTTGAAAATCGTTTCAATAAACATTTTTAAGAATAATTTTGAGTTTCATGACAAACGACTATTATTTCGTTTACACAGAATTTGAGTAAGAAGTTGTACCGATGTATAAAAACATTTACTCGTGTAAGTAANTTTCAAATTTTTTTCTGTTGGTATTTGTAAAACTTTTGATTCGTTTTATTAATTTTATTATAATACACTCCTCGATCAGAGCAAAAAGTGTTATTTGAAAAACAGAATTTAATTTTAATGTCATTCCGTTATCACATACAACTGAGTATTAGTATCAATGTAATAATTTTGAATTTAAGTTAACAAATGCTTTTTTAGATATTTTAAAACGTTTCTCGATATGAAGTGTCTTTATAACAACAGTATAAGTGAAATTGGTCAGTACAAAAAAGTGGATTTTAAGAAGTTCTACAATTTCCGTATTAAAAATTATGTCTAAAAATGTGCTGTTGAAAATTAGGTGGCGTAAAACAATTTTTTGATTATTTTGAAACGATTTTTGCTGATTAAATCATTAAAGAATTAAAGTACATATTATTTAATAAATATATATTTTACGAACTAATATTGCCTACAGTCTACAAGAGAAAAATCGAAAAGATTTTTACCAAAATTTGGTGTGTGTTAGTCGTTTGAAAGTCATATAAATGTGAATCAAAGTATAAAATCATTAAATACTTGTCTCAAACATGGAGTGATCGTGTTGAGTGTTGTCTCATTCTTATTGGACTAGATCAAACATAATCTTGTCTTGGGCTTAAAATTAGAAACGATAAAAACGACATCAAAACTAACATAAAGTCTTGACAACGCCCTAGTACGAAAATTATATGTTCACAGCGAATGAAGTCACTTTCTTGCAAAATAACTTGTCCGTGGTTAGGCCATCGGTCTACGGTACCACTGCCGGCAGGATTGTCAACAGCGACATTGTTTCCGTGTCCCTCAATGATGGCGAGCGTGTCATTTTCAGTGAAGGCAGTTTCGTACATATCCTTTTTCAGCTTCTAGTGACTATGATAGTTTAACAGTAATAATACGAACATAATAAATAAATAATATTAAATATTGCCATCGAATAAAGATACAAAAAATTATTCTATAGTTCATAGAAATACGTTTTATCCGACTTTTATTTTTCGAGATTTGTATAAGAATTATACTTTACACACACTTTCTTACCTCTAGGTAAAATTTAGGTAAAAATCATCTAGACCGTTATTTAGTGCTATGAGACAAATAAAAAGCGTGGGATATAACAATTTATCTTATAGCATGAGCTAAAAAATTTTAAAAAGTATGGCTATTTACGATTACAACTGAATAAAAATATAATATTATCCACACATGACAAATATGACACTTTACGGTAAAGGATAATTCAGTACTTGGACAAAATTTGTAATTTCCACTCAATAATGCGTCGTAAACTTTTCAATTACCTATTTCTTTCAAACTTTTTTTTACGACTGTTGCCATTGATTAAAGAACAAAAAACGAGAATGCAATCAATGCATACACCGTTTTCTCAAACCTATTTACTTTTTTGCTCGTTTCCTGCCTTCTGGGGAAACTAGCGTTTTCAATAAATGTTTTCTGATTTGTTAATTATTTAGAGACAATAAAATTCTCATAAATTATTTTCTCGAATTACCAACGTTTCAAATACATCTGTTGCCGAGGATAAATTCCCTCCACTACCATTCAGGTCACTGAAACCTCAAATAAGATAAGGTGGTGAAGTATATACCGGTGAAACGCTTTTAATTAGGTTGGGATAGCAGAGCAACTCTTGAAGAACACACAGCCTTTCCTATGTTTATCCTAGGACGATTATAAAAACAGACGATTTTTAACAGTATCTACTATTAAATTTTTACAAAAAAAGCAGGCAGTAGGGAACACTTTTTAATTTATTTCTTATTACCTGTATATATTGTTCATACACACTTATTTCGTGTATCAAAATTTTTTGTTTTGAAAACTTCTTCATTGATTCTTTATTGCTACGTCTCATTTTGTTTTAATTATGCTGAGTGGAAGGATAATTTTTTTTTCTCAGATATTACAAAACCTTTTTTTGTTGCTTTACGAATTTTTTTACAAATTTGCTTAGAACATAATTTTTTTAAAGTTTACGCATCTTACTTGTATCAGTTTTTTGTTAATAACTACGTTAAGAAACTAGCCAAGATTGAAAATAAAGTTTAAAAGAGAAAAAAATGATCTTAGTCTTTTTGCCGCCTGTGACCCTTTTCTGGGACGACTTCAACAACTCCGATGCGAACGTTATCAATGGAAGTCAAAAAATTGGTAAGTGTTGATATTATATAAAATACCATGGGTAAAATTTTCCATGCTTCCTCATACAGAAATTTTAATGATAATATAAGTACGTTTTTGAATATTCATGTATAATAGTACACGATAGAAAATATACAAAAGGTCATAAAATATGTACTAATATGAAGAATTAGTTAAGCCTTCAGAACAAATATAACTTGAAATATCATTATTTATGCTGAGGTATGAGATATAATTTTAGGAATGTACGGAACCATTATATATTTTTCCCTGTGCAAAATCATTATTTTGTACAGAAATATTTACTTTTATGGAAATAAGAAGAATATGAGGCGTTTCACGCGAAACGTCCCAGGCCCGCCCGCGCGAGCGCTAAAAGCCACTGTTTTCAGCTCATTTTCTTGGCCTTATTCCTACCCTAAAAAAATGTTGCACATAGCATTTTCAATGTATTTTTCAGTCAGCTTTTCGATGGTATGGTTATTTTTTCGAAAAAGTTTCATTTTCACTGAAAAAAACACAAAACATGCTGTATCTCGAAAAAGGCATTTTTAATATTTTTTTGATAAGCTAGATGGAAAGCTGAGGTTTTTTAACATTGAAAACGTCTTTTTACACAGTGTGCTCTCAATAAAAATTCGAGTAAAACAATACCAAAGATTAGACGTTCAGCCGTCTGATATTTATTTAACAATGAAGTATGCTTATACGTTATTACTTAATACAGTATTGTATAACTAAAATAAAATCTTTGATTTTTTATTTTAAACTAATTCTTGAAGCTGTAGATAGATATATGTACACTTTTTAGATACTAAACATTTTTGATTTTATTTTAAAAGCACCGTCAGAAAGAAGTTACAATTTAACTACAATTTACTATTTTTAATCAAAAACATGCCCCACATGGTATCGTCAAACGAGTTAAAAATTGTACAATCTCTTTTTCTGTCAAGATACACCTACCAAGGAGTGGATACTAAATGAGGAAGATCTCGCAGATCATGAAGTAGTGCTATTGAGGCCGAGCCGAACGGGGGGTGATGGAAAACATGTGCAGGTTGAGTTGCCGGTACCCGCACTACTTGACGTGTTGAATGACAACAACCAGGTCAAGATTACCTTCGCGACTTACAAGCGTAAGTATAAATTTCAGAAAGATTTTTTCAGTGTCACTTCACAAGACCAAGACCATCTAAAACTCTATTAGACTATTTTATGTTATTCGTTTCAAATTTCGAGACAGCTGAATTTAACTTATCTTCTGTACGAGAAATCTAATAAAAATTAGAATGCCTATTAATCCGATGTCAAAATACATGTAGCGTGATTATCAAATAGAGAAAAGAAGTACAACTGGTTTATGGAATTATTCACAAGACCATGATAAAAAAATAGGAGAACTAATTGTATTGAATTGTAATAGTATACAGTAAAGATGACTCAGAAATATGAATATTACGAACTAATATTGACTACAGTCAAGAAAAAAGAATTGAAAAGATTTTTAGCAAAATTAGGTTGTCTATTGAGTGTCGTCTCCCTCAATCCCACTGGACTAGACGAAACATTATGTTGCCTTGGTCTTAAAATTACATAGAATAAAAAACGATATCAAAACTAACATAAAGTCTTGACAACGCCCTAGTATGAAAATTATATGTTCACAGCGAATGAAGTCACTTTCTTGCAAAATAACTTGTCCGTGGTTAGGCCATCGGTCTACGGTACCACTGCCGGCAGGATTGTCAACAGCGACATTGTTTCCGTGTCCCTCAATGATGGCGAGCGTGTCATTTTCAGTGAAGGCAGTTTCGTACATATCCTTTTTCAGCTTCTAGTGACTGAAAACGTCGGCAACCCTACATGCGTCTATTGGAATTTCAGCAACAAGTAAGTGCAGATGACCCTCATTTCCCGAGTGACATTTTTACTCTGATCTATTCTTCATAAGGATTGCTTCATTTGAATCTCTTTCAAGTTTATAAAGTACTGAATGTTAAATTAATCTATTACTTCATAAATTTACTATTGATACTTGCTATGACATGGCCCACAGTTGTTCATTTGACATAATCTTAATTGATAAGTATGCAACTTATACAACTGTACACTATACTCTTTCTATTATTTATTTATGGCTTAACACAAATCATAAATATCGTTATTGTTACTATTGTTACTTATTGTTATTGTTTTTATTATTATATTATTAATAATTACAGCGACTGGTCAGAAGATGGTTGTGCCATTCAACAAAGCAAAAGCAACAAGACCCACAGTGTGTGCCAGTGCAATCATCTAACGAACTTTGCTATTCTTATGGATGTCCACGGGACCAAAATTGATTCCATGAATGACTTTATTCTGCGTATTATCACCTACGTCGGCTGTAGTATCTCTATCGTTTGTTTGGGCCTTGAGATCATTACTTTTCAGCTGTTCCAAAAGCTCAAGGTAATAGTTTCACGAAATCAAAAATATGGCATCCCTCGAGTTCTTTTTATTACTTGTGATTTTCAATTTTCTCTTATGAAGAACTTCAATTGCTAGTGGAAAATACTCGAAGGGATCGTGGGTCTTGTCCTAAAAAATTTCAAGACGATCGAATGCAAACTTTTTGCAAATTGTCAAATAAGCTAAAAGAAGGTCTAATTTTCAGCCATTTTTCAAAACGTTTTTTCTTAATAAGATGTTAATCTTATTCTGGTTAAATTTTCGTATCCCTAACTTTTTCGTAAGTCGGTGGATTGGACGCGCCGCCGATTTAGGGGCCACCCGCTGAAACATCTATAAATCTTATTAAGAAAAAAAATTTTGAAAAATGGCTCTACGTGGTCTAACAACTTTTATGGAGCCGTTTTTTAGGAAAGACCTTTTTTAAGTTTATTTAAGAGTTTACGAAAAGTTTGCGCCCAATCGTCGTAAAATTTTGTAGGGTTCTTAAGAATCACAAAGCCCGTATTCTGTTAAAGCCAAATTGTTCATTAGAACGCCAGTTAGGAACTGCCAAAAAACAGAGCGAATCTGACACTTTTTGGTAGTTTGTGGAAAAACGGCAAGGTTTATTTAGGTCCACCAGGGCTCATTTTATTTGTCTTGAAATTGCGCATCTTTTTCATGAACGTTTTTTTGTCTAAATTACAGCTTTTCCGGTAGAAGCAAAAAACCACAAATTCTAGCCATAGACAGACACAAAATCTCTACTGTCTTCTTTTGCTTCGACTCAACTCTACACTACACTCCTTTCCGTCTGCCAATTATACTCATCTACGCGATGATACACATTTTCACAAGCTCTTTCTGTCTCACTCTATATCTTTCTCTCTCTCTCTCTCTCTCTCACCACATACACTCTTTTCACACTTTGGGAGGAGAAAAAAAATATTAGTGGCAACTGTCATCGTCGTGCTTCCAGCATTTAATGATAGCGGTTCTTTTTTTTTTACGCGATGATACACATTTTTACAAGCTTGTCTCACTCTACATATATGTCTTTTTTTCCCTTTTTTTGCAGAGCGACGTGACAAATGTTCATAAAAATTTGTGCATCTGCCTGCTCATTGTGCAGGCCCTATTCGTTGGTGGGGTTGAACAAACAAGCCAGAAACTTGTCTGCGGCATCATTGCACGTCTGCTTCACTTTTTCCTTTTGTGCGCCTTTGCCTGGATGTTCATTGAAGGTATAAATCGGAATGTTTTTCAAATTTTATATTTACCTTCAGTATAGAGGCAGAGTATTTGGTGTCCAGTCCACTCGTTTTTGAATTCCTTTGTTGTCCGTAGGTTTACAGCTTTACTTTATGCTGATCAAAGTCTTCGAAACGGGGATATCTCGCATGCGTTGGTACTACTTGTTTGCGTACGGGATGCCACTGATGGTGGTCGCTATCGCATGTGCTTTGAATCCCCGGGGCTACGGCACCGAACATTACTGTTGGTTGAAAACGACGGATTACTTCATATTTAGCTTTGTGGGTCCTGTCATAATCATCCTGGTGGTACGTAAATTCAAACATTTTTTTAAGCCCACTTAATATTATTTAATGGTAATCTTTATGATTTTAATATAATTTGTGTGAACCATATAACAATAGCGCATCACCTAAAAATAAATCTTGTTTGTCTTTTTAAATGAAATATTTAGATAAATTTTGGGTTTCTCTGCATGGCAATGAATGTAATCTGCAGACGGACCAATAAAACCATCTCCGCGAACACCAAAGTTCACTCGCAGATGGGCAATATAAGGTAAGCCTTCTCAACTTTTTTTCTGTTGGTATTTGTAAAACTTTTGATTCGTTTTATTAATTTTATTATAATACACTCCTCGATCAGAGCAAAAAGTGTTATTTGAAAAACAGAATTTAATTTTAATGTCATTCCGTTATCACATACAACTGAGTATTAGTATCAATGTAATAATTTTGAATTTAAGTTAACAAATGCTTTTTTAGATATTTTAAAACGTTTCTCGATATGAAGTGTCTTTATAACAACAGTATAAGTGAAATTGGTCAGTACAAAAAAGTGGATTTTAAGAAGTTCTACAATTTCCGTATTAAAAATTATGTCTAAAAATGTGCTGTTGAAAATTAGGTGGCGTAAAACAATTTTTTGATTATTTTGAAACGATTTTTGCTGATTAAATCATTAAAGAATTAAAGATGGCATTGTAGAAAAAAACTTACTGTATAAAAAAGTTTCATTTTGATGAGCTCTACAATTTTTTTACTTGACATTTTGCTACTAAACCGTAATTTTTCGCATTTTTTTCGCTGTTTTCACATTTATTTTACTCTATAGAGCGTCTACATTACGATATAGAGCAAAGTGTGTAGTCCAAAAAAGTTGTATTCCAACGAGATCTACAAAGCGAACGCGTAAAATGTATGAGAAAAAATTTATCGCTGAAAAACTGTTTTTTTGTCTCAGAGTACTGCACTAAAAATGCTGTCAAAATTTTTTCTTTCAATGAAGCTCGTTTAAATTTAAACTGTTATGGTTGAAACATCCAACTCGAAGTCACGAATAAATTTCAGGCCATTTGGATCATTGTTACTTGAGTTAGTCGAAAAACTTGATGACGCACACACAAACTTCTACACATACACTATGTGACCATCTCAGATCACCCTTATAGGTACTAGGTTAAAAAATTTGTATCGTACTACTAAAAATAAACGATTAATAAGTGGTTACACTTTTTGCTCTGACACAATTATAAGGAACTCCCATACATTGGTCGTGCCTAATAATATTTTTTAATAATAGAAGAGATATGTTTTGTAAATAATAAAAATTATTCTTAACGCAATAAGTCGTAGGAAACATGTAATTTTAATTTTTTAGTAACATGTAATTCAAACTTTTTAGGACAATGTTAAAAGGTTCTGTGATGTTGGTTTTCTTGCTGGGTTTGACCTGGACCTTTGGACTGTTGTTCATGAACCGTCAGACTTTGGTCATGGCATACATCTTCACAGCGTTGAATAGCCTCCAGGGACTTATCATTTTTGTGTTTCACTGTCTGCTAAACAAAACGGTAAAGAAAAATTACTTGAATACTACACAATCATCTTCCATTTTATTTTAAGTATTGAAGTGAGGTATTTATAATTTTTCTAAATTAATGAATGTCACAGCTTTTTAGAACGAAGTTCTTTATATCGCGTACTCGGGGGGCTGGAATTTTAAAACCGACAGATTTCATGAAACGGAAGTGGCTTACCAGAAGTCACTTCCTCCTAAGTTTCCCCCCTTACCCCATCCCTCTCACCATTAGTTTCCTATACACACTTCCACTCGCCCCATCATATATCTTTCAACTGTGCCGCACTACTCTCCTAAACACCTTTGCCCTCCATTTCCTTTCACACTCCCAAGCAATTAATTTTCAAACCAATTGTAATTTTATTTTCCCACAATGATTTTAATTTGACTTTGAATTTTTTTTTTTTACAATTCGAAAAAAAAAAAAAAAAAAAAAAACTTTCCAATAAAGAAGTATGAACCCTCGGTCTTCCACATGTGAGACAAGCACTTTACCCACTCTGCTACGAGCGCTACCGATTATAAATAACTCAGTTTCTTGTACTTATCGTGTGGTTCGTAACTTATTTTTCATTTTCATATGCATTCATTGATAATACATTCAACTAATGATAAATTATTTATTTAATTATTTTTTAAAACGAAGTTCTTTATGTCGCGTGCTTGGGGGGCTG